ATTTATGGTAGGGTAGGAGTTTTTGTGAGTCACTCACGAAAGCTCCCCCCCTGCCACAAATTTTAGTTTTTGAGTTGCTACTGGGCTCTTACTCTTTTCTACCGCTACAGACAAACACGGCTACCCATCTGGATCTATCTCACTGAGTAACAAAATACTTCCTTCAGACCTGTGAAGCCCTGAGGTGTCCCTCCCGAATCTATTGCCCATCAATTTTGGATTTATTCACCTGGCCCAGGCAGAAAGCTGGGAGCCCTGATATTTATACTGGGCTTGGCCAATCCAGAGGTTTCATACTGCTGGCCAATCACGAGAGTCGACGTTGCATTTTTTTGCTATTTCTTTCTGCCCTGCGAGGACTCCTCTCAGGCCTTTGAACGAACCCTAACCCCCTAACCCTCACTAATAATCTGTGGTCACTAGCTAGAGTTAAGTGGTAAACTGAGGTTCCTGGTTTCAGATCCTCGTACGAAATGAAAGACCCCCTTGTGTGTGTGCTGGCATCGGACGCCAACCAAGAGATCCCACCAAAGCTGAGAAGGAATTCTGTAACTGGAATCCCGTGAAAGCAATAATGGTCTGTGTTAAATAGTGGGGTTCCATGGATGAGCAGGCTCGAGTCTAGCGATCAGCTCAACTTTATTTGTGATTTTAAGCCCTTCCTCAGATTATGGGATAAAGTTAAATAAGCCTCTCTATGGCCCCGGTCACACGGAGCATTAGGCATGCTAGAGAGACAGAAAATAGGCGGATTTTCCGGGCGCGATCTCACCGCCACATCTGGGAAGCGTAGAGCTCCCGTGGCTCACCTGAGGCTGTTCCGGTGTTAGCTAATGGCATCCGGCGCCCGCCCATGTCCTGTCGCGAAAAGTTTTTTTTGGGTCAAGTCTCCACGGGTGCGCACAAGCACCCAATGGTGCATGGGAACACTTGGGTTAAAAACACCCAACACAACCCCCCCCCGGCGCCGCTTCTTTGCCGCGCCGCAGGAGTGAGGTATGATCGGCACCTCTCCCCAACCACGGGACATCGGCGGGACATTTGATCCGGCTGCCGCGCAGTAGTTCGCTCCGGGGCAAACAGCCACGCCTCCCCCCCCCCGTGATATCCAGCCCGTGTGACCAGGGATTATATATACTTTAATCATGTTGCAATTATACATTAATTATGCATGTTTATACAAAAAGAAAAAAGAAGGGAAAATAATTCCTTCGCTTTGCATTTATGCTGAATGTTGCGCTCTCTACCAATGGCCTATATATGCTTGCTTTTCACATCTTTTTTCTTTCCTTTTCTCTCTTTTTTACTGTTGTACACTGTAGGTTGTTTTTCTTTCTGGGGAGGGGGTGTATACTTGATGTCTGTGTCTGTTTTGTTTTTTGTTTTTTAATAATTAAATAAAAATATATTTAAAAAACAAACCTTATTTGTGATTTTAGCAAGCACAAGCCAAGACTCCTGGGCCTCAGGCTCTGTTAAATACCATGCAATTGCCACACCCAAACACAGGCTATTGTGATAGGCTGTTTACATAACATATTTACATAACAATTTACATAACTAGACTGGTTTATTCCAGAGTCCTGGTCAGCTATTATTCTTACGCTCCAAACTCAGCCAGTCTCTGGGGTGATTCAATCAGGGATGATTCAATCCCAATACATAACAGTGTGTATTGGTTAGATTTTATTTATTTAACTCATTTATACCCCACTGGAGACCCAAGGCGGCTCACGTCAATCTCCTTTTCCTCCATTTTATCTTCACAACAACCCTGTGAGGTAGGTTAGGCCGAGAGAGTGTGGTGACTGGCCCAAGGTCCCCCAGTGAGCTTCTGTGACACAAGTAGGAATTCGAACCCGGCTCTCCCAGATCCTAGTCTGGCACTCTTAACCACAACACAACACCTTTCTGCTTTTTGAGACCCAGTTTGGTGTAGTGGTTAAGAGCGCGGAATCTAATCTGGGAGAACCAGGTTTGATTCCCCTACTCCTCAACATGCAGCTGCTGGTGCTCCCTCACGGGCAGTTCTCGAGAGAGCTCTCTCAGCCCCACCTACCTCGCAGGGTGTCTGTTGTGGGGAGAGGAAGGGAAAGGAGATTGTGAGCCACTTTGAGACTTCTTTGGGAAGTGAAGAGTAGGGTATAAATCCAGTTTCCTCCTCCTCTTCTTCTTCCAGAACTCAAGGTGCCTTGCAGAACATAAAACATACAAAACTTTTAAAGGCCATGAATTAAATTCATGGCACAAGCAGGGATTTGAACCCGGGTTATTTATTAAATGTTAAATGTTAATTGCAGTCTAATCCATTCGATTGGAGTCTTGGGCCTTTAATATTCCAGACCGAGGGATCTGGGTTTTTCCTCCTAATTTAAATTGATCCAGGCCTCTTTGTTGACACTGACTTCCAACTCCGAGAATCCAACAGCCAATCCCGTTCGCTGTTTATTTACTTTTTTAGCATCAGCCAGCGCTCAGAATAGGCTTTCTTTTTTAGGGTATCAACAGGCCTAGTTTGTTAATATTTGTTGAAACAAAACGGGGAAACAGATTCCCTGGAGCGGCTGGCTGGTTCATCTCGAATCGAACATGCGGAAGGCATTCAATCTGTTCGACGTTTAAGCTAATGTTTGCGATACACACAAAAGCAAACCAGGAAGAAGACACACGGCTGATACAGACCCCAGAAGAGGAAAACAACGACTTCTGCATTTAATTAAAACTGTGGATCCCTTGCCAAATGGTTTTGCAGTACAGTCACCCACGACTCACACAGAGCAAGATCTTTTTCCTCTCAAGTAATGCTAATTTCTTCCCCTCATTTTATCTTCCCAGCCGAGGAGCCGAATAATGTCATTGGTGACATCAGAATTACCATTTCTATCATGCCACCAGCAGTTAGATGCCACTTGGCATTTTATGCCTGGCGCCACGCTCCAAAACTCTGATTATAAAAACAGGGGGTTATTTGGTTTGGTTAGTAAACTCAGGTTACTAGGATACAAGAAGCAAACCTTTCACGGGAGACAGAAAGGTGGAACCCTTGGGGAGAAAAAGTGGCCAACCAATTCCTCTGGAGGGCCAACAACAGGGCACAGAGGCCGAGGCCTTCATAAGAACATCAGAAGAGCCCTGCCAAACACAGTGGTCCAGCATCCTGTCTTACACCCCGAACACTTCCTCTGGAGAGCCAACAACAGGGTGTAGAGGCTGAGGCCTTCCCCTGATGAGAACCTCAGAAGAGCCCTGCTGGATCATACCAGTGAGGGTCCATCTAGTCCAGCATCCCATCTCACACAGTGGCCAGCCAGTTCCTCTGGACGGCCAACAACAGGGCAGAGGCCTTCAAAAGAACATTAGAAGCGCCCTGCTAGATCAGACCAGTGGTCCATTTAGAACAGTGGTCCATTTAGTCTCACACAGTGGCCAAACAGTTCTTCTGGAGGGCCAACAACAGGGCATAAGAACATCAGAGAAGCCATGTTGGATTGGGCCAATGGCCCATCCAGTCCAACACAGTGGCCAGAACCCAGATGGCATCAGGAGGTCCACCAGCGGGGCCAGAACTCCAGAAGCCCTCCCACTGTTGCCCCCCCCAGCACCAAGAATACAGAGCATCACTGCCCGACAGAGTGCTCCATTTATACCTTGTAACTAATAGCCACTTATGGACCTCTGCTCCATACTTTTACCCATAGAGGCCTTCATAAGAACATCAGAAGGGCCCTGCTGGATCAGACCAGTGGTCCATCTAGTCCAGCATCCCGTCTCACACAATGGCCAACCAATTCCATAGAGGCTGAGGCCTTCCCCTGATGTTGCCTCCTGGAGCTGGCATTCAGAGGTATACTGCACCTGAACGTGGAGGTTTCCCCACAGTCACCATGGCAAACAGCCATTGACAGACCTCTCCTCCACGAATCTTCTGGCAGCAAATTCTACATTTCAATCACTCGCTCTAAGCTCCAATGGGGTACAATGCCCTAGACTTCACCTTCCAAAGCAGCCATTTTCTCCAGGGGAACTGATCTCTGTCTCATGGAGGTCAGCTGTCATAGCAGATCTTCAGCCAGCATCTGGAGGTTGAAGTCCAATCAAAACACCCGTGACAAAAATGATGAAGAGTATATATATGTATATATGTGTGTGTGTGTGTGTGTGTGTGTGTATATATATATATATATATATATATATATATATATGCGCAAAAGTGTTTACTATAATAGTAGTGATTCTCTAGAAAAATCTGTTTTCTAATCACTACTATTATAGTAAACAATTTCGTATCTATATTTTGATTAACTCTTCCGTCATTTTTGTCACAGATGTTTTGATTGGACTTCCACCTCCTCCCGTGATCTCTCACCTTTGGCATCTGAAGGTTGGCAACTCTAATTCCGGATCTCCAGGCTCAGCCTGGAGGCTACAAACACACAGGGAACACGGCAAGGTTAGACAATCATACAGAAACACCGTGATATAACAAAACACACTTCTACTAATATGTACCTGTATCTTCATATATTGATCTACTTATAAAAACCTAAAGTACATTGCATCTACTCATAGAAAAGTCCACAGCTACAAAGCCCTAGTCCAACGCTGTAGACTATCTTGCTCCTGATAAAGGACTGATGAAAGTTGCAAGTCATGAATGATGAGAGAGGCAGCAGGCCGTTCTATTCCCCACAAAGAGTAATTCAGCAGGCATCAAAGCAGGCATGAGAAATGCAGCAGGCAGTTGTGTTTTCCACACAAAGTGTTTCAGCAAGCATCAAAGCAAGCAACACGCCTCCTAGGCAAAAATTGCGTGTCTCGACAAATTCTTCTTCAGGCAGACATATTTTTCCTGGAACCAAAGCTCTCAGTTTTACTGTGCATAAGTCAACCATTCTAAAGAAGGCTTCTCTGGAGGCTGGCAACTTTAAAGCTGGCAGGGGACACTTTATGGCAGGTTGCTAGGTCCCTCCACCTCCCCCCCCCCCGGCCATCAGCAGGCGATGGTGGTGGACAAGTAGGGTTGCCAGATCCAAGATGGGAAACTCCTGGAGATTTGGGAGTGGAAGCTGGGAAGGGCGGGCACCTCAGTGGGGCACAATGCCAGAGAATCCACCCTCCAAAGTATCCATCCCCCCCCCCCCCCAGGAGAACCAGTCC